GCAGACTTTATTTTTTGGAGCATCTATGGGGTGTACAAAAAAACACCAAACTTGAGGAGTTTCAACTTCAATTTTTACACCGAAAAATATAAACAAGGAACCGCACACCACCCGTGAGGTTAAGTGCACGGCATTAACCGCTAAAAACGTTACGTTGGATATAAAAAGTTAGATCTAGATCAACCCTGACACGCCAGCTATAACAATGTCAAGAGAAAAGGCTAAATGGTGAAACATGCACTTCTCATGCGATGTTGAACGAGAATAAGTTTAATTAAACTAAATTTTTCCTAAGAAGAAAAGAAACATTTTTAATGTTATTTAAAACCATATCCTTTAGTATTTCCTTGTGTCAAGGAAATTGTATCGTGCGATTATATATATTTTGTTTCACCTTTATTCATCGATGTCGCTGTTGTGTTCTAAGAATTAGTATCCAGTTACGACTTCTTTGATGAGCACACCATAAGGACGTATGTCTCCATATTGTGACAGCCAGTAGTCAGCTCCGGTACCTGTATACCGGGCTGGGATAAAACGGAGTGTAAAAGGATTGACACGATTTTGCAGCGCAACTTTGTAAACTTTACCATTATGTATAAAAGCCTTTGCATAACCCTTCCGTTCAACCATTTCAATACTGGGGCTGCTGTAGATGCCGATGCCAAACTTTGCATTCGGGCCGGGCTGAAAACCTTGTTTTATGATGCTGTTAACGAACTTGATATTTGTACCATGATATGAGACAGGCCATTCTCCAAAGGCTGGTGCATTACGCAGACCGTTAGGACCGAGCCAAAGGTTGCCGTCCTGGTATCTTCCGAGAACGTTTAAAGCTATTCTGTACCAACCGCGCGGTCGTTGATACGGAAAGTAATAGTTCCCTCTAAAGCAGTTCCAATCAAGACGTATGACGTTCCGGAAATCAAAATGGAATCGAGGATCAAGCTCTGCTGGGTCTACGTAATTAACTACGATATTTTGGATGGGATTCTGGACAATTATTCCATTGTGAGTTGAACTTGTGATAATGGGGAAAGGTGATGATGACGGTGGCTGCCATAAGGGAACCGTGCCCATGTGAATTTGACTGAAAAGTTGATGGATGGAATTTGAAGGAAGCCCTCCACCAAATATCGCTGTGAATGCAGCGGTTACCAAATCTTGATTAGACATGATCCTAATAAGATTTCTCTCTGTTATCAAAGCTACAACTGAATGAAATAAAGCTTCGCTGGTCAACTGGATGTCTTTATACTGCATACTGCCATATACGGTTGTATACTGCCATATACGGTTGATGACGTCAATTACTTCTACTTCCTGTTTTTCGTGGAAAGAAATACATAAGTAAGTAACTTTATTTAACCACATATCGCATATGAGCGAATAGCTCGTTTAAATGCAAATGTGCCATAAAAATTTACATAATTTACATGTATAAGTAATGAGTAATAGGTAAGAAATAAAAATTAATTATCTAGAATGAATAATTGCTATTAAAATAATCAGTAATTTAATAAAAGGGAATATCGGTGACTAGACTATTTGTTTACAAAACAAACAGCTGCAGTCATACGATGAGGATGAAGATTGGCGATATCACTACTATCAATGATGAGGCGCCCGTCTTCAATCAGCTGAACATGGCTGTTACCTCTGTCTTTACTTGGGAGTAAACAATGAAATTTCTTCCAAAATTCCCCGTGGTATTCGGAGTTTGTGGATACATTAATGCAGTATGACTTGAGGGAAGAACGTTTTAAGGATGTGACAAGGTTCCGTTGTTTCCTGTAGGTCTCCCAATTTTCAGATGTTTTCTTCTTAGTAAACCTTCTGTGGAGACGATTTCTAGTGTTTATAGCCTGGATAATTTTTGGTGTCATCCATGACACAGCATTGCCGCGTACTAATTTCTTCTTAAGTGGTGCGTGATGATCAATCACTTCAGTGAATAATTTATACCAGGTCGCCCAAATGTCGTTGATATCATCATGAATAAACGCACAGTCCCAGGGGACACTGTTTAGATCCTGGAGAAAAATATCA